CCATCTGAATGTAAGGCTTACCTTTCTGGTAATTTAGTTGCTTTCCACTGAGTCTTTCTGTGCAATAACATAGCATTAGAATTCTCTATGGATGATAGGTGGAGGGAAGTTCAGTACTGTGTAATTTAACAAGACCTTTCTGAGCTCTGGTTGTGAACTATAAGGTTAATAATATTTTGCTGTTGAGACCACTGTGCTTTTCTACTTGCATAGAAACTGACAGCCATCTCTTTACAGAATTTGTTATAACAATACTGCCACTCTGTATGTACTGGACTTCTCGTTTTCCAGCCAATTACTTTGTGTGTGTTTGTTTGTTTTTTTACATTAATAACTGCTGGGAAAGCAACTCATCTCCTGAATTTTAACACTTTTCCTATACACAGTGTTAAGGTCACCCTTAAGCATCAGTGTCATGTCTTTTGGCACAATGTGGTAGGAAAATCTGTTCTATTTAAAAAATGCTGCTTGAACAGGGAGTTTTGTACAAGGAGAGTTCATAAGTCTTAGACATGAATAGAGACTGAAACAGAGCATCTAGTAGCATATTCCACTAAAAGCTATATTACATGTTTTTTAAAAAGATTTCTGACAAGTAGTCATCCACATTTGTATTCTCCACTGAAACAAAAATTGCAATTTATTAAATCTTATGGTTGCACTTCTGATAGAACCTAAAGACAATGATGGATCTTATGGCACCTCAAAAACTTATATAACTATTATATTTATTTATTTATTGTTCAGAAGAGGTTTGTCATTATCTTCCCGTGAGGCTGAGAGCATGTGACTTGTTCAAGGTCATCCAGTAGGTTTCCATGACTGATCTGGGAATCAAATCCTGATCTCCAGAGTTGTAGTCAAATGCTCAAAACACTATGCCACAATTATGATTCAGTTATTGTCACATCCACCTCCACATGCAGAGAAAAATAGAAATTGAGGGGACACAGAAAGCCTGCTCCCTCTTTCATTTTTTAAAAACATTATATCATTTTTATTGCCCAAACAGCACAAAGTCTAGCTGCTCTTTCTGAAGCCAGCTTTGACTTTGCTGTGTGTTGAGATGGACCTGAACTAGGGTAAACACAACCCTCTTTTTATATGTATGGATGACCTAGTTTTGCTGAGTTCTTTCCACATAAATTCACTTGCATGATGGGAAACAAAGTGTCTGCCAGGAGATGCTGTTAAGTGACCCTAAGGAAACACAGTACAGTGCCCATGAGACTATAGGTCAGAATAAAGTACTAAATTGAAAGTTCTGAGGACTCTCAGAGGGTGGGGTTGGGGTGGAGTTAAAAATGTGAACAGAAAAAGATTGTTTCAATTATTATGGATTTCTAGAGACTGGAACTTTGTCTCACAAAAGCCAAGCAGCGGAAATTCTGGTTTATTTTGGTTGAAATGCAGAGGATTTTATTTAGAAAAGTTCAGTTTCATTTATGAGTTCAGTTGCTCAAAACAGTCATGATTTTTCTTTTTATGCCCTAGTACTTTATCACACAGTGAAAACTGGAAGTTTAAATGGTGATTACCCCATGAAAATCACACATTCACACGGCATCATGATTAAACCACCCATTATCCCAGGAATAACCGGCAATAAACAACAACAAATCATTCACAAGGAAATCACATGAATGATTTATTGCTGTTTATTGCCTGGTTATTCCCTGATTATTCCAGGGATAATGACTCTTTAATTGTGCTATGTGTGAAAATCTTAATCTTGATCTTAATCATGATTGTGCAATTTTCACAGGATAATCAGCATTTAAACTCCCAATTTCCCCAGTGTGATAAAGTCCATAGAGTTTTTATAGAAGCTCTGCCTCTAAGATACTTGTAACCTTCCATATGTTCTTGGATTACACCTCCCACCAGCTTCTTGACTGCATGCCTTGTGGCTATGGATTATAGGTGCTGCATTCCAACCACATATGAAGTATGGAAGGATGGAAGAATTAGTTTTGTTTTATTCTGCATCTGATTTTTTTTAAAAAAAATCTCACATCCCAAGATTTATGGAGAAATATAAGGAAATAAATGAAACCTCAATTGAATCTATTGAGCTGGTCCAGTGACAATGGGTGAGAATGGCATTCTGTACATATACAGATTATGTGTTAGGACAATCAAATGTAATGGTCCACCCATTTCTTTAAGATCACTCCAGAATTTTTCATGATCTTAAATACCTCTGGCTTAGTACTACACAGCATCCATGGAGCTGAAGAAAGTGATAAAAGCTTATGCTAAAATAAAGCAGTCTCAAAGATGCTGCTAGAGTCACCCTGCCACATTTGTTGTTGATAACTGTCTTTGTGTTGATCTTGCCCCATGATGAACCTGCTAACAAGACATCTCCAAACCCTCCTGTCCTCTACTCCACTGCCCAGCTCCTGCAAAACCATATTTGTGGTCCCTTTAATAAAGTCCATCCATCTAGCATTTGGCCTTCCTCTCTTCTATTTCCTTCTACTTTTCCTAACATTATCCCCCCTCCCCAATGATTCATGCCCTCTCACGATGAGTCCAGATACGACAGTCTAAATTTTGTCACCTTGGCTTCTAGGGATATTTCTGGCTTCATCTGCTCTAGGACCCATTTGTTTGTCTTTTTGGTTGTCTATGGGGTCCTCAGCACTCTTCCCAGCACCACATTAAAATGCATTGATCTTCTTTCTTGACTGTCCAGCTCTCACATCCATACATGGTAATAGGGAATACAATGGTTTGTATGATTCTAACTTCTGTGCTGAGTTGTATGTCTTTGCATTTTAGGATCTTTTCTAGTTCTTTCACAGCCATTTTCCCCATTCTTAATCTTCTGATTTTCTGGCTGCAGTCTCCATTCTGATCAATGTTTGATCTCAGATATGAGAACTCTTTTACTATTTATATTTCCTCATTACCTAGTTTGAATGTGTGTAAGTTCTCTGTGGTCATTATTTTTGTTTTTTTTTTATGTTCAACACTAAGCCTGCCTTTGTGCTTTCTTCTTTAATCTTCCTTAGTAGTTGTTCCAGATCTGGGAAGTTTTCTGCTAGTATTATGGTATTATCAGCATCTCTCAGATTGTTGATATTTTTTCCTCCTATTTTCACTCCTCCCTCTTCCATGTGCAAACCTGCTTTCCTTACAATATGTTCTGCATATAAGTAGGTTGATAGGATGCAGCCTTGTATGACTTCTTTGTCAATTGGGAACCATTCTGTTTCTCCATGTGCTGTTCTGACAGTAACCTCTTGTCCTGAGTACAGATTCCTCATCAGGACTATCAGATGTGTTGGCACTCTCATGGCTTTAAGGGCATTCCATAGCTTTTCATGATCTATGCAATCAAAGGCTTTGCTATAGTCTATAAAGCACATATTGATTTTTTTGTGGAACTCCTTGCTGTGCTCCATTAGCCATCGTATGTTTGCAATGTGGTACCTATAAATAATAATAATAATAATAATAATAATAATAATAATAATAATAATAATAAAATTTATTTATACCCCGCCCAGTGGTAGTCCAATCAGGGCGGCTTACAAAATTAACACATACAATCCATGATAAAACATATAATACACATACCCCCCTCCCCCCTTAAAACATTATTAAATCAAAAACAGTTTAAAACAACAATTCAATTTAAAATTTAAAATTCTAATACCAAAATAAGTCCAAAAAAGCCTGGCTCAACAATCCTCTCCATCTAATTGATGGGGCCACATGCGGCGGAGAGGACCAGGCCCGCCGGGGCAGAGACTCCTTCCCTGCCT